CACACACACACACACAACAGCGGCATATAAGTTTGAGATAACCTGAATTAAATGTGCTTACTGTTTACACCTGCAGTTGCCAGCAGGTGTGGCCACAAGCACATCATCCCTTGCAGTTTGCAAAGGTGTTCTTAAAATGTTCCCCACTCCACTTTTCAAGCTGTGTCACTTTGGAGACAAGTTCATAGTTTCCTTGAACCACTCAAAGTTGTCAAAGTTGTAACTAAATCTAGTTTTTAACCTTGCAAACCAATCAACTTGTTACTTGTAAAAGGTTGATGCTAAAAATAGGGTCACTAGAGGGATTCTAAATCATTGTGCCGCAGTTTGAGAAACAAGGTCTTGATAGAAAAAAAGTTAGGCACACACAGCCCTAAAACTCATGGTACAAATTTAGTAAATACAAAAAAATGCAGCAAGCTGATGAGAGCTTACACATCTACTGTTCTGATGCTTCTTAGGTGGTCATGACATTCATCTGTAACTGTTTAATAAATTATCCAGGACAGGAATAAAAACTTTAACTTGAAATAAATAACTCCTTATGGCAGGGCCATTCAACTAAATTGCTCCGGGGGCCACAGTTACTGCCGGTCAACAGCTCAGGGGCTGAACATCCAGCAATTAAAGTTATTATGTAAATAAACCATGTATTAAAAATATCTGCTATCTTTGAATTAGTTTATTTTGCTGCATTTAATCATGAATAAAATATACAGAACCCAATAAAAGTAGTGATAATTACACATTATCAAAAACAAAAAGAACACATTATGCCTCCTATTATTAGACACAAATAATATTTTGACATCTCTGACTTGCCAAATTTTTAAACCAATTTTATTTTCACTTTCATAATTTCATCTTCAACTGCTTGTAGTTTTAACTGTCTTGACTGTTTATAGAAATGGTTTCTACCAGCTTCTAGCCAAGATTCGGACATTTCTGTAGATACCAAACATGTCTATGTTTAACCAGAAGAACTTAGAGCAGGGGTGTCAAACTCCAGTCCTCGAGGGCCGCTATCCTGCATGTTTTAGAGGTTTTCCAGCTCCAACACACCTGATTCAGTGATTGAATTAACTCTTCAAATTGGGCAGAAGCCTGTTAATCACCCAGCGATCAAAATCAGGTGTGTTGGAGCAAGAAAACCTCTAAAACATGCAGGATAGCGGCCCTCGAGGACAGGAGTTTGACACCCCTGACTTAGAGTAACTAAAGTAGAAAACCAGGGGTTTGAGCTTAAGAGATGAATGAACCAATTGGCGGGCCGAACTTTGGTCTCTCGCGGTCCGGATGTGGCCCGCGGGCCGCCAGTTGAATAGCCCTGCCTAATGGTCTATGTTAAAATGCATGATATTGTGACAGAGACATCAATTCTATTAATGTAACACCATCTTACAAATCTACTTTTTACAAAACACTAAATACTTAATCATATTCACAGAGATGAGTGATACATTCTTCCAGTGCTTGTTCCATCATCTATTCGTCCGTTAAGGTTTGTCTCTCCTTGTTTTGCAGCCCATGAGTCATGGCAGAAATGGGTTGAGCAAGAGGCACAGTCTAAATGCAAAAGGTCAAAACCCTAACATGTTAATACAAATAATATAATACTAAATTAGATAATGAAATTATTAACTTTGCTTTAAATATCTGTTAGTTTAAAAGCAGTTTGATTGTTACTTTCTCWTAGTGATATTTTTGTACTTCTATTCATCCCAGATACAAAAAGAAAGCAGACAGTGGGACTTCTGAAACAAAATGAGTGTGTGGCTCTCTATTTCAGGCACATTGTGATGCTGCTGCCATTTGATATCCTACACCTCTCCTAAAATAGAGCTGAAGGAAATCTGTGGCAGGTTTTCCTAATCATAAAACGAATCCGAAAGGTGGTTCTGTTATTTTTTTTTTAATATGTTACATGCTTGCATGCAATCACAACTGCGGGAGGGCACGTACTGTCTCCTCTTCCCTTTTCTCGTTTTAGTCCTGGGGTCACTCCTCTGCAGTCGCTCAGCTCTTTGGCATGTGTGTGCTTGTTTGTTGGGCCTGCAGCTAGGCAACGCCCACATTGCGTTTGTTAACCCCACCTCACCTATAGATGTTATTTAAGTCCCTACAGTTTTTTTCTTCTCTTGCCATTTTTCATCCTAGCCGCACAAACTCGTGCAGCTTAAAGGCAACAGGAATGGCTTTCGTTTGGTCACCTTTAGGTAGGAGGGATTCAAAAGACAAGTTCAAAGGCTCTAAAAGATTTTCATCGTCACTGCTGACAACACCAGGATTCTGCAGCCGGAGGATTTGTGACGGTTCGTCCGAGGAGCTGTCACATTAACGTTTGTGTTCTTGTTTATTCCCAGACTGACTCAACTAGGGCTGAGGGGAGGGGGGAGTGGTCTGGAGGGCCATATCATGTGCTGTCAGGACTCCTTTCCTGTTGTTGATGATAGTTCTGTCTGAGTCCAACTTTATGTTGGGGGGTAGTCATGGGTTACCACACAGATCTGGTTTCGCTCACACACACACACACACACACACACACACACACACACACACACACACTATGTCTCTACAGTATATCCATGTGGGGACTTTCCATTGACTTCCATTCATTTTTTTTTTTAAATTTAATATACTAACCGTGACCATTTACCCTAAAATTAACCTCACAGGTACCTACCTGGTCCTAAAACTAACTTAAATTCAATTCACACCTTTGTCCTAAACCCAACCCCCCCACCTAAAATCAGCTTCCGAAGTCGTGGAGACCAGGCTTTGGTCCCCACAAGGAGAATCCGGTCCCCACAACGCTGCATTTTCCTGAAAAATTATCCCCACCAAGTAGCAAAAACAAGGGCACCCCCCCAACACACACACACACTAATTTTGTGTAATGAATAAATAGCCAAATTCTTGTCATACTTTAACTTATCCTAAACTGATATTATCCTGTTCCACTCATAGAATCATCACATGGCTTTAAAATAAATGTGTTGTTGACATTCTGGTGATAAACACTTTCGCAGTAGTTTTGAGACTTAAGTGCTAAATTAAGGGTTTCTTTTCTGGGTGACAGTTGAGGGTAATTTAGTTTTGAGTCTGGGGTTGTCAGGCAACTCATGGCTGGTTCACTTTCTGTCTTGATCTGGTGACAGAGTATTAAACTGGAAACCACCAGGATGCTTGTTACTCTAATTACAGCAGTTAACATATTTAAAAGCTTTCATTTATTTGTCATATTCTCATTACTGCACCCCTTTACAGCCCTCTCCCCTCCACAGACACAATACTTGATTAGTGAAATAAAACGGTGGACTAAAATGGAGACTTTGCTCCTTAACACTGTAAAAAAAAGTGTTTTTGGGGCTAAATTAAGTCAGATCTTCCATCAAATATCAGCACATCCACATATTTTTTGATCAGTAAAACAGTTAGACTTTTTTTTTTCTTTAAATGAAGGTGTGGGACTCTGTCTTCAGTCTGGTGTCCTTTTGAGACAGAAGACAAACAGCTGAGTTCAAATGGGAAATCTAAAAATAGGGCTGACACCACAAGCAGCTGACATGCAGGCTGCTTTGTGAAGCACAAATATGTGCATGACCAAACACAATGAGCCATCCAACATATATATACACACAGACTCGTTAACACCACGTTTCTTTTTTTGAGCGAATCTGGATGCTAGCAGAATTAATACCGAGCTAAAAGTTGATTCGGTAAAGCAGAGAGCCATCCGCTCATGGAGCATTAACAGATCACACATTAAAGTCAGCGGACATGATGCGTGTCTTTAAAGAATACAGGTTTCTTTATTTAATATCACTTTTTTTTTACTTTTCATACAAACACACAGGAGTGAATGTGCAGGAACAAGTTCTCAAACAAGTTTTTGGCTGCAGCTAACTGTGTRTTTTATAGATTATCAGCTTACATATTTGTAATGATATACTACTGATCACTGCACCTACCGACTTCATACTTTTTGATTCCAACATTTCTTCATTGGTTCAAGTATTTGTTTCTGCCCAAAAGTCAAACACGAGCCAAAGTTCACAAACATATACACAACTAAATTCATTAGCATCAAAACATTATTATGTTATCATTAAAACCTCTCCGTGATATTTGCTAAAATATAGTCATTTTTCACAGTGCAGTGATGACAGTTTTGTGAGATTTTTCTATGCAGCACTGTAAAGTGACAGACGAAGCTGAGTATCAACATCTCTTCTTGTACACAAACCCTTGTACACCACTTTGATTACAACATGGTAACACAACCAGAGCAATGCAAACTCCTAACTTACATTCAGAAGTACAAAAATACTCAAGCAATGCATTTGACCCACTATACATAAAGGTCTCCAATGAAGGTCAGACACCTTTTGAGTGTGTGTGACTTCCRTTAGTAACCTATATGGATCTCACATGCTCTGTGTGTGGGAAGTGTGTGTTACCTACTGGCAGCATCTCCATCAATCAAACTGTGTTGCTTCCTATGTAACATAAGGCAAATATATGACACTTCAGCTTCTGGTGCTATAGACTGAAGGAACTTGTTTACTGTCATCAGTCTGGAAATGTTTCTGTGATAGTGGGTGTTTTGAAGTCTCTTTTTTAGATTTAATAAGTTAATATATATGAAAATAAATGTAAAATGTAAAAATGTTTTAGTCTGTTTAGTTTCCTTTCTTCTAAATAACGCCTAAAAAAATCCTAACAATTTGTCTTTAGTGTCAGCTTATGTACGGGGTGCCATTTGTAAAGTTACACAGTCAAAAATTACCACCAATATTTAATTTTATTTAGCATTTTATAAGAAAAAAAAGAACCTTTAGAGTCAGTTTTCACCATATGATTCATACATTTATAAATGTCATAGTTTACAAACTAAATATTTAACTTACAAATTAAATATTTAGTTAACAAGCTAAATATTTAACTTGTGACTTAAATATTTAGTTTTGAGCTAAATATTTAGCTTGAAACTTAAATATTTAGCTAGCTACCTAAATATTTAGGTTGCAACTTAAATAGCAAGTTAAATATTTAGCTAGCCACCTAAATATTGAGGTTGCAACTTAAATATTTAGCTAGTCACCTAAATATTTAACTTAAATATTTAGCTAGCTACCTAAATATGTAACTTAAATATTTAGCTAGCTACCTAAATATTTAGGTTGCAACTTAAACATTTAGCTAGCTAGTTAAGGTGGTTAGCTAAATATTTAACTTGGTAGCTAAATATTGAAGTTGCAACCTAATTATTTAGGTAGCTAGCTAATATTTTGGCATTTATATAATTTAACCTTCTTGCTGTGTTTGAGTCAAAATGACCCAAGAGGCCTCAGTTTATCATTGAGGCCTTGTGGGTCATTTTGACCCAAGGGCACAAAGGAGGGTTGAGAAAGATCAGAGACATTTCATGGGATTTTATTTTTCGTCAAAATGATCAAAATGCATGTTATAATTTTGTTATCCACAGATTAATTTCATTTATTAAACAGGTCTTCGTTGAGTTTGCAACAACTTCCCACACATACACCTATTGAATGACTCAGTCCTTTACTCACTTCTGCAGTCATCGAGAGTCAGTTGTAGACATACAGCTGCCCAGCTTTACCAGCAGCTGAAACCCGACGCCCCCAACAGCTGAATTCAGGGTCACAGCAGGCAAATGGCAGAGGGATGTGTCTGAAGCTAAGATTACTCTTTAAAGAGAGTAAATAGATATTTTGCATTTTTTATCAAAATGCTGCAAAAAAAAAAAACTGTTCAATTCAGTTTAGTTCAGGTAACACAGCTTGACTAAACCTAAAATCACAAGAAGACTGAATGAAAGTTTTATGATGATCTGATAAAAGTGAGAATAAATGTGGAACAATTTTGGTTTGATTGAAAAAAATGCTGTCAAAAAGATCAATAACGGGAAGTGACTGCATGCTGGAGGGGTGGGGAGGTGTGAGCAGGTGGAATGGAGCCAGCTGGGTGACACAGAGGAGGGGTTGGGGGCAGGAGTGGGTGTAGATGGTCTACAAATAGTTGCTCTCAGCGCCTGGTGTCTCTTCACTAAGGTTTCCTCCAGTCGCCCTGTGAGACAGTTGGGTCTCAGCACCGACAGCAGCTCCTTCAAACCCGCAAGCCAACCAAGTGGTCAACCAGCCATGAGCAAGTCCTACTCCTCCTCAGCCCAGTCGGCCTCCTCATACCGCCGTACCTTTGGCTCGGGTGTGTCTTCGTCACCGATGTCAACCCTCTTCTCCTCTATGGGAGGAGGCCGTGGCTCCTCTTCCAGCCACACTACCAGAGTCTACGAGGTCAAGAGCAGCGGTTTCCCCTCCTATTCTAGTGCCAGGGTGTCGTCTGGTGCTGCAGGAGCAGGGTATGGCTCCTCTACGGCACTGCGCACCTACTCTGGYGAGAAGCTCGACTTTAACCTCGCCGATGCCATGAACCAAGACTTCCTCAACACAAGGACCAACGAGAAGGCCGAGCTGCAGCACCTCAACGACCGCTTCGCCAGCTACATTGAGAAAGTGCGCTTCCTGGAGCAGCAGAAYGCCGCTCTGACAGTGGAGCTGGAGAAGCTGAGGGGCCGCGAGGGGCCYGGCCGCGTGGGGGAGCTCTACGAGGAGGAGATGAGGGAGCTGAGGAGGCAGATCGAGGCCCTCACCAACCAGCGCGCCAGAGTGGAGGTGGACAGGGACAACCTGGCTGATGACCTGCAGAAACTGAAGATCAGGTAAGACGGAATAATGGGAAACAAGAATTAAAAAGTGTGTAAATGATCTGACCTTTTAAAAAAGAAAAACTTTTTTGAGTTTGGAAAATTCTGGAAAATGATGATCTTCTATTTTGTATTGATAGATGAGTGTATTGTGAAATGTACACCAATAACACAAGACAACACACCCGACCTCTGACCATCAAAAAAAAAAATGAAGAAGACAAACACCCAGCAACCAACCATAAACATATGTATGTACATATACGCATATGCACATTTATAAACATATACCSATTAAATATTCTTAAAACTTTGTCAGATTCCAGATTAAAATCTTGTAAAATCATTACAACTTTATCCTGTGACCTCTTGATGTGTCACGACCCAGAAAAACTGGTCAACGGCAAAGAAATAAACCTCACCCCTAACCACATTAGAAGATAGTTTATAAAGGAGACACATGAAGACATAAAGCAGAGAAACAGAATCAGCTTCTTTTTTCAGGAACATCCAGCAACTCATGAGGGATCTGAAAACAGATGTGTTTGACTGAGTGTTACAATCCACCAACTTCTTACAAAAAAGTTGCTAATTTGTTCACAAGAGACCAAAAAGACCCAAATAAAGAGCGAGAGTGAGAGAAAGAGGTGTGCAGACTCAGAGGAGGGAGGTCCAGACAGACAAACAGATAAAGTTTCAGCCAGACAGAGCACTCACACAGTAAAAGGAGTTGACAGGAGATGAATAGCAGATGGAAAAARTGTTTATTTTCCCCTWGCAAGTTTGCCAAGGAAGTCAAAATGTCAGTAAGACGTCCCCTTTACAGAGGTGGTCTGTATTTACAAGGTCAGTTCTGTAAATCTSGGATAATTCCATGATGCCGCTGCGTGCACTATCACTCATATTAAAGTGTGTATTAAAAAACCCACTGCAGCACACACACATACACACACACCTACACAGAAAAACTGGAACTCTTCACTGTTTATCAGCTCTCTTTGAGCAGCTGCTCGAAGCTGCCGGTGAACGGTGCCAGAGCACTTGCAGCACTCGCTGAGATCAAAATCCACACGCAAAACCTGCTGTCTGCTCGCAGCCACAGTGCATGAAAACACACACACACACACACACACACACACACACACACATACTTTTTATTGAACAGATTCATCAACTCATCCTTTCCTCCTTCAAGGATGACCAGTTTGCACACGGTTAACACCTGCTTTGCCCGCAAACAGGTCTGCTTGCAGGGTGGGTGAATGTTGTGCTTGTTCAAAACGCCACATTAAAATGCTAAATTTGGAAACAGCGACAGCCAAGAGCAACCCTCTGCTCCCTGCTTGCTATTGCCCCTCTGACAGTGTGACGGCAGCTGTACCGTCAGCCTGAGAGAGCAATTGTGGAGATGTGTGCGTGTGTGTAGTTATTTGAATAGRGGTCAGTTTGTGTCTGACATGCACTATAGCAGCTATAAACCAAGCAGTGTTCATCATTTTTTTCTTGCTTTTGTCCTTTCCAGACTGCAGGATGAGATTCACCAGAAGGAAGAAGCTGAGAACAACCTGTCTGCTTTCAGAGCTGTGTGTATTAAAACTTCATCAAAGTCACTTTTTCCCGCACATATCACCTCCTTCTCAAAGCTTGCAGTTAAAAAAACACTGTTTCAGTCACTTCCTTATTTGTTTCCACTGAATCCTATTCATATTTGTAATAATTGCAGTTATTTATTTTTTTTACTGACAGAATATTTTGGGGCGTTTTCTTTTTGTTTCCAGGATGTTGACAGTGCAACTCTGGCCAGGCTGGACCTGGAGAGACGCATTGAGAGTCTGCAGGAGGAGATTGCCTTCCTCAAGAAGATCCACGAAGAGGTGTGCATCTGTTAAATGTCAGCAATATGTTTTATGTATTTATATTTGCTTTTCTGGAGACTCTAATATAGTGTTTGTTGCATTGTATTTGTATTCGCAGGAAACTTTTCACAGTCCATTTATGTTTCAACATACGCTTTTCATCTTTGTGCAGTAAATTGAATTGGTTTGTGCTCAAAGAAATTAACATTGTTGCGCTTTCCCTCATGCGCACCAATATAAAAAAAAAGTCTGTGACATGTGTCAGCCACACCTTGTCTACTTTGCCTCAACTTTGACCTTTCAGAAATGCTGAACTGCTGATTGGTTGAAAAAAGTATGGCAGCTGGTGTGCGGCACAGGAAAAGTGTGTGTGAGTGCACACACGAGTTAGAACAGATGCAAAGCTATTTTAAACCTGATTGGACCAGTCGACAGCTGAGTGCAACCAAATCTTCAAAATCTCAAACTTGTGTCTGAAATGAGAACTCCTACATTTCCATTTGTTCTTTCTAATTTTACTCTTTTTTTTTTTTTTTTACAAATTCCCAGTTGTTTGAAATTAATCCATTTCCCCCCGCTCTGGATGCCTCGTAGGAAATCCGAGAGTTTCAGAACCAGATGCAGGAAACGCAGATCCAGATCCAGATGGACATGTCCAAGCCCGACCTGACTGCTGCTTTGAGGGACATCCGCATGCAGTACGAAGCCATCGCTGCGAAGAACATCTCAGAGGCCGAAGAGTGGTACAAGTCTAAGGTAAAAGAACAAACTCACGTGAGCTCGTGTCGGTTTTACGCAACCTTTCCAAGGTTAAACCCTCTGGTGTCTCCTCAGGTGTCTGATCTGAACCAAGCCGTGAACAAGAACAACGATGCTCTTCGCCAGGCCAAGCAGGAGACCATGGAGTACAGGCACCAGATCCAGTCCTACACCTGCGAGATCGACTCTCTGAAGGGCACTGTCAGTATTCTGTGTGCACTCCCTACTTCTGCTGCTTTCATTCGGTTTTAAGATCGGGCCACCGTTTTAACCCTGTCTCTCCTTTCAGAATGAGTCTCTGATGCGCCAGATGAGAGAAATGGAGGATCGCATGGGCCGCGATGCCTCTGGCCACCAGGACACCATCGCACGGCTGGAGGAAGACATTGCTAAGATGAAGGTAATAATAACATAATAATAGCAGCAGATCACAGATAGTGTCTGTGTTTTTAGAAATAAACCACTGCAAAAAATGTCCACCTAACCAAGTTTTAAAATCTTGTTTTGAGACAGATTTACTAAACAAGAACTGATCGTGTAAGAATAATAATCTTGTTTTCAGAATATGTAAGATTATTTGTCTTGTTAGTCTGAAAATTTGACTCAAATTGTCAAAAATTTCTGCCAGTGGAGTAAGAAAATTTTACTTGGTAAGATTCTTAAAATACTTGATTTGACTCATTTTTTTTCTTATTTCAAGAATCTTACCAAGTAAAATTTTCTTACTCCATTGGCAGAAAGTTTTTACTTAATTTGAGTCGAATTTTCAGACTAACAAGACAAATAATCTTACACATTCTGAAAACAAGATTATTATTCTTACACAATCAGTTCTTGTTTAGTAAATCAGCCTCAAAACAAGATCAAAAAGACATTTTGGCTGGATATAAGATTTCAAAACTTGGTAAGATGGACAGTTTTTGCAGCGTATAATCTAGTTTTACGTTATTCTGGTGGTGTTTTGTATTGTGTTTTTGGAGAAAACTTTATTCTAAGCATTAAATTTAATCTAAAGGATGATATGGCTCGTCACCTGAGAGAGTACCAGGACCTCCTCAACGTGAAGATGGCCCTCGATATTGAAATTGCTACCTACCGCAAGCTGCTGGAGGGAGAGGAGAGCAGGTTTGGGCTTGTTTTGCTTCTTTTTAAACACGACTAAAGTCATTTTTATTTCTAAATGAGCTAGTTTTTATTTTTATTTTTTTTTTTACAAATTTAACATAGGGTAAATGCAACTTTTTACATTTTGTTTTTGGGTCTGTTTCTTCCTGCAGAATCACCTTGCCTGTGCAGTCTGCTTATTCTTCCATTGGATTCAGAGGTACCAGGAATAGGACACTTTAGTTTGCACATACATACCTGAGCAATTTGTTTCGCGTTCCCAAAGAGTCAATTGGAGGGATCAAAACGACTAATTATAGCATGTGACTGTATATGGTAGATGCTATTTTAAGGGAATTGCATAGAGGGCATCTGCAGTGACACATTATGTCCACTGTGTGGGAATGTTGAGTTAAAAACCTGCATGGTTACTGGCTTTTACAGAAGGAATCTTTAATATTCACACAACTTAGCCTCGTCATTTATTGGATCAGCTATTCAAACATGCAATAAATTCTATCTTTCTGTGGAAGCAGAAAAATAATATATTTTTTTTCACAAGTGGGAGGATATCTTTAGAATGGAAATTTAATTTTTATTTAATTAATTAATTGTTCAGAAAGCCACGTCTGGGCCTAATTCATGACCATATATATTAGCTGTTTAACCATGTTCACCTAGTGTTTCCCTTTACATGTAATCTATGAGAAGACTATTAAATCAATTACAGACCAGTTGACCTCCTTAGATCAATAATTAACTAATACCAGTGTATTCAATCTGAATTAACCCACTGTAACTGACGAAACCCTCAACGTACGAGCTTATTGGGTGAATTCCTTCTTACAGAGACCAGTCCTGAGTCCCAGCGCTCACCAGAAGTTCACTCCAAGAAAACTGTTCTCATCAAGACCATCGAGACTCGCGACGGAGAGGTGTGAGATCACACACGTTTACACACACAAACAGGTTCAAAACATTAACTTGTTAGCAGGTTTTTACACAGGAAAGCACCCGAGCCGGYACAATACAATTACTGTGAAAGAACCCGTAATGCTTTTGCGACAAAATCCTTTTYATGTATTATATCCTATAGATGAAGTTTTCCATGAGCCAGGGTGCTAGTGCCCAGTGTGTAAGTCTGGTTCTAATGTCCCACCTACCTTCTTATTATCTGCTCACATTACACGCAAACTAACTATAGAAAAGAATACATATCTTAATAAGTAATKTCACATGATAATATTTTTAAAAATGACACCAACAAGTACTTACTATTAATTATCTGTATTGTAGTTGGCAGATAATTTGTTTAAACACTTAAATCAAAGAGCAACACTGGATTTCTTCAGCTTCACTGGCCTGCATAGCACTCTGCTCTGATCGTAGCTGCACAGATTATGATTTGGTCACTTTTTGTGAGCAATCAATGTGGATTATTCCATTTAAATTTTCCTTTAAATTAATCAACTGTATTTTTTTTCCAGGTTGTCAGTGAGTCCACACAGCACCAGCAGGACATCATGTAAAGCGACACTGTGAAGGAAGCAGCAATATTATTCTTCAGAACAAACTTTTGAATTCATTTTTAGAGTTTCCAAATCACTATCATGAAAATATATAAGCTGAGCCAATTTTTGGTGTCAAAACTATGTGAATGCAGTCACAGGGTGGAAACAGGCACAAAGCCTGGTTTTAAAGGGAAGTCATTCCAGGAGTTTAGTCTATATTCATGTCACTTTTTGTGTCACAGAAAAGCAGACTTTCAGACTTTGTAATACTTATTAATGCTTGAATATGATGTTGGTTTTATGGATGAGGTTTCTCAGGATTCAAACAGAACATCCCTGAGAGACAATAATCAAAAGCCAAACTAATTTTCAGTGTATGTCCCAAAATTAAATATAAGTCCACATAAATGACTGAACAGAATATCAATAAAGGATGGACTGTTTGTGTAGCTGATTGAAGGAAAGTGTTAAGATGGATAAAAAACTTAAAAATAAAAATAAAAAAATGGCAAATTTTGAAGCAATAAGGAAGTCAGTCGTGTTCAAAGTTTGAGCAATTAAGCATGTGCTGGTTGTTTCACTGTATGTTTAAGGGCAACACTGGTGTGCTGTTTCACTTTGAAATTAAAAAAAGAAAAAAGAAAAAACCCTCAATAAAAAAAGCATTTATTACCAGTATGCTTCTTGAAATTGCTGTTTTTTTTCCAGAACTCATTTCTTTTCAAATCCTTATTCTAAGAATTTCATTCATGTATACTGTATTTTCCAGCGTATCAAACTAAATTAAACTATATCTCTCTCATTCAAGCGTAAAACTCTTCTGCCAACATTTATTTCTCTTTTATTGATGGAAGGAGCGGCTGAAACAGTCAGTACCCGGGCTGATCTTGCTGCCGAGCAAAGGGAACAATGGTTTGGTAATGAGCTGTCTCTGATCACGCTTTGGTTCCTGCAGAAAGCAGATTAAAAGAGCAACGAGACTCGCAGTCTGCACCATGTGTTTCTGAAGCCACTGGAGTTAAAATGTCAGCAGAGATGAGAGAAAAAAATGGTTGAACATGAGCAGGAGAAAGCATGAAAGAAACAGAGACAATAAATGAGCATTCAGCAGAGAGAGAGAGAGATGGGGGGGGTGGTGAAGGGAGAAAACAAGAAATGCTTGGGACAAATTTAATGAAAAGGTTATCTGAGCAGAAAGATGCCAGAAGAAAATTTAGAGAGAGAATATTACATAGAATATAACAAAGGAGCACAAAAAAAAGTGCAATGGTGATTCTGGTAATTAGTGGAGGTGCTCAGAGCTTTCTGTTCTCACCGGTTTCTCTGCGGCGTCTGTCAAAAGATGCCAGCCTCCCAGTCATTATGCAGTAGGTCAGCAGCAAAGGGCAGCACGTTCATCTGTTCTACTTCTTTCAAATGAAGTCAGCTCACTTCTGTGATCTCTTCTTACACCGAGCTCCCTGTGTGCAGTCCTGGAAGCTTTTTAAATAAAAAAATCTCTGATAGTTTCATATGATTTGTTCTTGGCAATAACAAAAAAAAAGTTTAATTTTGTTTTGAATAGTGGCGAAGTCGTCAGAGCTTTTATGAAGATTTAGTACAAAAGCAGCCTAAAATTTCTACTCAGATCAGGACAAACTCAACCTGGGAATCTAATTACAAGTTTATTCATGGATCTGGTGGGTTTTTTTTTTGTTCTTGTCAAGAAATAAGTAATTAACATGACCAAGATTTTTAATTTTTTTAAAACAAATCGTGTTTTTTAATGAGTTTTGGTATTTTATGACTTTTATTAATTTGATGCTATTTACTGAGGCACATAGGAAAACAATGTCCAAATTTGGGGGTTTAATTTTCATGTTTTCTAATAAAAATATTGAGGATGATTCTGTGCAAATACTGCAGACTAAMTAGTGCAGAAACCGTTTGCAATAACTATCAATTACCTTCACTCAACAGTGGTTTTTAGTAAATATGAGTTAGATCTTATGTTTATTACAGTAAAATAAAAAAGAACAATGCTTTGGTTAGTAAATGAAAAAAGCTGGTTTGATTTGAAGTATTATCATGAGTACAACTATATTTTAATGAGAATGCAATTGCAGATGAATATGGCTGCACTTGTCTCCTAATTTTATTTTACAAAAAAAGATGAATAATAAAATTCTAAAATAAAAGTCAAAGACAAAGTATAAAGCTAACAATTTTAACTGCCATTCTCTGCAGATTAGGCATAGAGAATTAACCTGTTATTTCTGCTATCCTGCTTTACTGCAGACATCCATACCAGCTAATAGTGTTGTTTAATACTATAAGTGCTGCAGCTGCCTGTACTCCTTTGAACTGAGGATAAAGTTCTTTTGAAGTCATTTCAAGCTGAGCTCAATATTATAAGAAGCTAAAAGCATCAATTCTAGCATTAAAAATAGAAACTGAAAAAAGTAGCAGTAGAAGAATAAAAATAAAAGCTAATCGAAGACTTGGATAAAGACAATTCAGAGTCAAGGTTCAGTTTTTCTGCTGATTTTCATCATTGCATGTTCAAACATCTGTATAAGTGGCGCATTCCCACCCGGCAAAATTAAATACATACAGCAGTATCACAGCATGACAGGTCTACTCTATTTAAAAATGATCAGCTGCAGAAATGAAATACAATATGAGAGATAAAAATGAAAACATTTGCACGTTAAAATATTTACAGGTCAATATCTACAAAACTAATACCCTAACATGTTGTACACAATTCAACTGCAACGTGTACAGTATGAAAATGAAAACAAGCAATTTTAGTTTTGCCCCTGAAATACAAGAAAAACAGGAGCTGATGTTAAAAATTTGACATTTTTTTAAAAAAAGGACAGACTTGACGTTACACGTTCACTACATAAAACACACACTCACACAAAAAACGAAGCATCCAAAACAGGACTGAGGTAAAAGCAGAAATAAAACAACACGTATACAACAATTGCAGTGAAATATTATCAGAGTAATACAAAGCAGAACCAAAAGTGGCTTCACTTAATGCACGTCCTTTTCAAGGCCTTTACAGGACAGTGTAAACAGGTGGAGGAGAAGCAAAGGGAATAGATGACAACGGATACCTTTAGACAAACAAACTGGAAATCTGGCAACAATGATACAACACAATAAACACTTTAGAAGTATTGTCATGCATTAATGGAGTTTGACCTATAGTTGGTCCTGCTGTGACATAAAAACCTGCAAATGCTGATAAGTCTGAGTGGCTACAGATTAGTGGTACAAAAGCATTCAAGTAAAGACTTTTGAAATTATTTTTAGGTCAAACCTCATTCAGATTTGAAATTTATAGTAATATTAGCATTTATTGTTCATAATTTCTATTCAGTTTTCGTCAATGGAAATTGTTTCATTAGTAGTGTTAGCATTCATAAAGGTAATGAAAAAAACCTCTGTTTTGTTAATGCTCAAACAGCCCTTTTGTGTAGAAAACACCTCCTGTTCAGATTCCTGTTTGGATGTTGGTAGAAAAATATCGATGCAAGACAGTAACACGTGAATTCCAGTGCAAACAAAAGCACACGGAGACGGTCCAGAAGACAGGTCCAACGGTAAACATTAGAGGGTGCCATTTGCAAACGCTTTCATCTCCTCGCCTTCTTCTTTTCAAAGGAGATAAACTTTACCTTCATCCTCTTCATTTCATAACAGGTCACCCAAATGAAAGATGTACGTGTTTTCCGGCACAATGAGAAAATAAAACGTAAAGAACCACATGCTTGTTTTTAAATGATCCTCATCACTTTTGTTAATTTTTTTTTACAATCTGTCAGTCTTAGAGCTCAAGTCCACTCTCACACACAAACAGGTAAATTCTTCGATGACATCAATCAGCAGCTTTTTGTCTTTAACAAACCCCAGAAGAACATTGTTTCAGGATAACAGGCAGATAAAGGAATTGGTAGCACTTAGAGGAACATGGAAATACAAAGTATTACATTGCTTATAAATATTTTCAACTCGGGAAAAAGAAGAACAATGTATCCTTGTTAGGTTTACAGAAGGAAAAAAATACGAATACAAGGATACAACGGCAATAATGGGATGTAAACAAATTCCAKGAAAATGGCAACAATGCAGGAAAAGATACTAACGTGAGAAAACAAAATAGCTTTTGGTTTGACCAAAAACTGGTCCACTTTTGAGGTCACACAAAACTCGTGCCACCATATCGGAGGTTCTCATAAAATATGTAATGCCAGTTTCATAAATACTTTAATTCACACAGAGGGTTTTCAATTAAAAAAAGAGTTCCAGTATCTGCTGTAAACTATTTTTTTCTCTTCCGACATTTAGCCAAAAGCACCCTTCCCGGAATCCTTGAAACAAAGTGTTTCATGCTTCAAAAGCCTTTTTAAAAATGTAAGGATGTCGACATTTTTTTAAAAAGCATTACCTTGATTCTTTGAAGAAAAAAAACATGCCTTTTTTTATCAGAAAAGGTTTCCTGTAGAGTTCAGAGTTGTTTTTTTCCCCCTTTTTTCCATAACAGTCCCACTGAAATTGAAATAGTTTACTTAATCACACATAAAACAGGTCCATTTCCCCAAGATTCTGGGCAGAATAACTTGGGAGCCAAATAATGTATTAAATAATGACTGTCTTGATTTCTTCAAAGCAGAAGCCTTTGTTTTTTAGACTTTCTTGAAAAGCAAAAATGGGCACAAAACAAAGAAATCTCACTTTTGTTTTGTGTGGTGAGAAACACCATAAATCTTACCACCTCCAGAACACAGTAAGCTCTTGTTGGGTTATCAGACGGTTGATTAGGTTGGCACGGCAAGGTCAAGTTAGACATCCCTTGTGGCGACTAAGAGTTTCTGAAGTAGACTTTGATTGTGTATGTGTTTTGATTTGTGCAAATCACAGGCTCAGATGTGAACTGCAGGTCCGCTGGGAGCTGTGAGAGGCACTTGAGAGCCACAGTCGTAGTCCAGTTGAGCCATTCGAGAGCGGCTCATTCGACTGTGGGAGTACGACCGTCTTTCTGACTGTCTGTCTCTGAAACTCCTGATGTAACTCTGGATGCAAAAAAAAAAGAAAAGAAATCAATAAGAAAAATAATAATTAACACAAAAGGAACTGTTACTGCTTTAAACATTGTTGGTATTAATTGAGCAAAATTCTTTTTATAGCATAGTTTTAAGTTTATTTCATCTTAAATGAGACATATCCTGCTTTAAAATCCTTCTTTTTCACATCATTCAGTTGGGTCTATATAAAGTAAAACTGCAATGCTTTGGTCTGCAATCCTTCTTGTTGTAACTCCACAAGCCCCTCTTTCACCCCCTTTTTGTGTCTTAAAGCAACTAGTTTTGAGGCTTCTCTTTAATTCCAAATGATGTGCTTCCAGCTTCCAGAGCAATCCAATCTAGTTTGAAAGAGGGGTTTACAAGCAGCCCAAAATCTTTTTATTTACAAATTAATTAAATTATGTCAACAACAGAATACTTGTCCATCCAGCCTTACATGTTGGAGCCAGAGGAGAATGAGGACCACCAAATTGTAATTGGTAAGTCCAGACCTTAGTTAGAAGTATTTTGCAAATTCTGAGATAATGGCTCAGAAAACGTCACAGAAAATAGAGAAAACAGAACAAGTTACCTTACACCTAATATATAT